AAGTGCACCACTCACTCTTTTTCCCTCATCAATTCTATGATTCACCTCATCTTTCATAGACCCATCCGCTGACACGTCCACTCCCAAATATCTGAATACGTTCACCTCCTCCATACTCTCTCCCTCCAATCTGATATTCAATCTTTCATCACCTAATCTTTTAGTTATCCTCATAACCTTACTCTTTCCTGATTCACCTTTAATTTTCTTCTTTTGCACACCCTACCAAATTCATTCACCAATCTCTGCAACTTCTCTTCAGAATCTCCCAAGAGCACAAGTGTCATCAGCAAAGAGCAGCTGTGACAACTCCCACTTTGTGTGTGATTCTTTATCTTTAACTCCACGCCTCTTGCCAAGACCCTCGCTTTTACTTCTCTTACAACCCCATCTATAAATATATTAAACAACCACGGTGACATCACACATCCTTGTCTAAGGCCTACTTTACTGGGAAAAAATTTCCCTCTTTCCTACATACTCTAACTTGAGCCTCACTATCCTCGTAAAAACTCTCACTGCTTCAGTAACCTACCTCCTACACCATACACTGCAACATCTGCCACATTGCCCCCCTATCCACCCTGTCATACGCCTTTTCCAAATCCATAAATGCCACAAAGACCTCTTAGCCTTATCTAAATACTGTTCACTTATATGTTTTCACTGTAAACACCTGGTCCACACACCCCCTACCTTTCCTAAAGCCTCCTTGTTCATCTGCTATCCTATTCTCTGTCTTACTCTTAATTCTTTCAATATAACTCTACCATACACCTTACCAGGTACACTCAACAGACTTATCCCCCTATAATTTTTGCACTCTCTTTTATCCCCTTTGCCTTTATACAAAGGAACTATGCATGCTCTCTGCCAATCCCTAGTACCTTACCCTCTTCCATACATTTATTAAATAATTGCACCAACCACTCCAAAACTATATCCCCACCTGCTTTTAACATTTCTATCTTTATCCCATCAATCCCGGCTGCCTTACCCCCTTTCATTTTACCTACTGCCTCACAGAACTTCCCCCACACTCACAACTGGCTCTTCCTCACTCCTACAAGATGTTATTCCTCCTTGCCCTATACACGAAATCACAGCTTCCCTATCTTCATCAACATTTAACAATTCCTCAAAATATTCCCTCCATCTTCCCAATACCTCTAACTCTCCATTTAATAACTCTCCTCTCCTATTTTTAACTGACAAATCCATTTGTTCTCTAGGCTTTCTTAACTTGTTAATCTCACTCCAAAACTTTTTCTTATTTTCAACAAAATTTGTTGATAACATCTCACCCACTCTCTCATTTGCTCTCTTTTTACATTGCTTCACCACTCTCTTAACTTCTCTCTTTTTCTCCATATACTCTTCCCTCCTTGCATCACTTCTACTTTGTAAAAACTTCTCATATGCTAACTTTTTCTCCCTTACTACTCTCTTTACATCATCATTCCACCAATCGCTCCTCTTCCCTCCTGCACCCACTTTCCTGTAACCACAAACTTCTGCTGAACACTCTAACACTCAGTAAACTTATTCCTCTATAATTTTTACAATCTCTTTTGTCCCCCTTCCCTTCATATAAAGGAACTATACATTCTCTCTGCCAATCCCTAGGTACCTTCCCCTCTTTCATACATTTTTTTTTGTCAACAAACCGGCCGTATCCCACCAAGGCAGGGTGGCCCAAAAAGAAAAACAAAAGTTTCTCTTTAAATTTAGTAATTTATACAGGAGAAGGGGTTACTAGCCCCTTGCTCCCATTTCATACATTTATTAAACAAAAATACCAACCTCTCCAACACATATCCCCCCCCCCTGCTTTTAACATTTCTGTCATGATCCCATCAGTTCCTGCTGCTTTGCCCCCTTTCATTCTACGTAATGCCTCACGCACCTTCCCCACACTCACATCCTGCTCTTCATCACTCCTAAAAGATGGTATACCTCCCTGGCCAGTTCATGAAATTACCGCTTCCCTTTCTTCGTCGACATTTAAAAGTTCCTCAAAATATTCCCGCCATCTACCCAATACCTCCATCTCCCCATCTACTAACTCCTCTACTCTGTATTTAACTGACGAATCCATTCATTCTCTAGGCTTTCTTAACTTGTTTATCTCTATAAAATGTATTTTTTTGTTAATATTTCCCATAAAAAATAATGAAAATCAAATTAATCCATTCCAGACACCCAAAAATATTAACAAAAATGCATTTTTATAGAGAATAACTATAGTTTTACATTCAGAAAAGGGATGATGAAATTCGAGGGTCGACTGTACTTCTATAATAGCCTAGACCTGAGATCAGAGATCAGCTGCTCCCATCATGCATACTGTGTGGGGCAGGATTTTTTTTATACTGCCCACACAAACCCCTCAGACACATTCTTTCATGATAAATAGACACATGTGCAACATTTGGGTATCTTTATTGAGGAAACCTTTTTGCTACACAGTGGCTTCATCAGTCCGTACAAAGGAGAATGTTGAAGAACAGGAGTTTGAGGTTATCAGTCCCTCAGCCTTGAGTTGATGTAAATCTTGAAAAGAATTCTTTTCAAGATTGATGGACTGATTATATCAAGTCAAGGCTGAGGGACTGATTACCTCAAACTCCTCCTGTTCTTCAACATTCTCTCTTGTATGGACTGATGAAGCCACTGTGTGGCAAAACGTTTCCTCACTAAAGATACCCAAGTGTTGCACATGTGTCTAATTTGTCAACTAATCAGTTCTCTGAACCATTCATCTACATTCCTGTCTGACACAGCAATATCTTGGGATCTTCATACTGGGAATTCTTCACTTGCCTAACCCTTGGGCACGACCTACTTCCACATTCGTCAAATGTGATACCACCTACAACTGTTGCACCTCTCCTGTCTACAGCATATAAGCCACTTCTTTGCACATATGCTGTATTCTTTTCAAGTTTGATGCACTGATTAAATCGGCTCAAGGCTGAGGAATTGATTACCTCAAATTTCTCCTGTTCTTCAACATTCTCCTTTGTATGAACTGATGAAGCCACTGTGTGGCAAAACATTTCCTCAATAAAGATATCCAAGTGTTGCACATGTGTCTAATTTATCAACTTGTCGGTTCTCTGAACCATTCATCTACTTTCTTTCATGTCTAGGACAAAACCTGCCACTCACAGCAAATTTAAGTACACAATGAATTGTGTATAGATGTAAGTGATGGTGATGTCACTTATAGATCTACATGAGTAACAGTGATGTCACTGATGTAGATGTACATGACAGTGATGTCACTGACATAGAAGTACAAGAATGACAATGATGTCAATTGATGTAGATGTACATGAGTGACAGTGATGTCATTTGACATAGATGTACGCGAGTGACAGTGATGTCACTAACGTTGATCTACACGAGTGATGATGAAATTATTAATACTGTTATAATATACACATTGTTCATGCTGCACTCCACACATACACATTACAGCAATGAAATCACGAAACAAGCGATTTTAAATCATTTATCAAACTGTGGCAGGCCAAGACTCGACCCTACGAACCTTATACCGCCTCCAGAGACAGCACAATGTACGCGTCGCATTACCACTTGAGCCGCTCGAGTCCTGGCCTGCCGCAGTTTGGTAAATGATACACATTATGATAAACACTATATTTAATATTCAATTAATGTAAAAGTCAAACACAAGACTTCACTCACCTGAGTAAACTTAATTTCATTATATTCATCTCCAAGGAGCCACTCACTTCACTCACCTGAGTAAACTTCCTTATTTTCATCTCCAGGGAGCCATTTGCTTCACTCACCTGAGTAAGCTTAACCCTCTGAGAGTCCAAGCTGCAGTTCTACACCTTGACCACAGGGTCCAAGAATTTAAAAAAAAAAAAAAAATTCTTATGAAATGGTAGAGAATCTTTTTCTGAAGGTAATAAAACAAAAAGTTCGAAATTTGATGGAAAACTGCAAAATTACACTATGGCAAATTTTACTGCATCAGCGATATTTACACATAGGTGATTTTGCCCACTTGGACTGCTATTTTAGGCCAATTATATTACTCCAGTTGACCAAATTCATAGCTATTTCACTAGTATCACTTATGTTTTATCGATTGAGCACAAGACACTGCCCAATCAACTATTTCAACTACCCAATAAAGTGATCAGAAATTGGTAATTTGAGTAATTTCACACAAAGTTCAAAATATTCCAATTTCAAAATAGGGTCCAGAATAAACAATGCAGGCATTCCTAGCACTAAAATAACATTTCCTCTGTCTATTAGTTACATTTCCAGGCTTTACACATGAAATCCATTTTGATTTATTATTCACATAAAATTTTTTATTCACACCAAAAACTAGAAGATTTACTGTTATGCAATATTGTAATAATTGTATAAATAATATCAGCGCATTCATGAACGTATATTAGACCCACCAGCTGTCGTGCATTGGATGAGTGACATCATCTGTTTGCTCTTGAACATCAGCAAAAATCGAACATTTCCGCTAATTTGAGCTCAATTTCAAGCTATTTTCACTACTAAAACTAATCAAAATCATCTCAATTTCTGTAATATATCTTCCATTCTACCAAATGAGACCAAAAAATCATGAATACTACCGTAAAAAACATATAAAAATACACCGCATATTTGCTGTTTTAATCCAAAAACACGGCCACAGTTTTTTTCTCATTATGCACTGCACGCTGCAGGATTTGTTTTATATGGTGCACACTTACTACATAGATGCATTCTCTCATATCTAGGCCCAAATTTACCGCTCATAGCTTATCTGAGTGAGCTGAGCTCATGGCGTAGAGCTACAGCTTGGACCCAGGCTTCAAAGCTGTAGATCTATGGGACAGACTCTCAAAGGGTTAACTTCATTACTTTCATCTCCAGGAAGTCAATCACTTCACTCACCTGAGTAAGCTTAACTTCATTACTTTCATCTCCAGGAAGCCAATCACTTCACTCACCTGAGTAAGCTTAACTTCATTACTTTCATCTCCAAGGAGCCACTCTCGGAACTTGTTGACTCTGAGACGAGGACAGAAAGAAGCTTTCCTTGCTTCACAGTACTCCTTGTATCTCTGGCAGGACATGCCCTGAAATTCAGCAACTCTTGTTTTAAAGTTATCACATATATTATTTATACTATTATTATATAACAGTGCTATCTAAGGGTAGTTGTGAAAAAGAGGAGTCATCTTTAAGTGCTAAGTTAGAAATAATCAAACTCAGTGAGCAAGGTATGTCTATGCTGAGGCAGAACGGAGATAGTACTGCTAGGCTTTGCTCTTAAACTGTCCAAACGTAGATCTATGTTTTCACTGCTAGTGCTCCAAATGTTTTGAAAAAAAAAATTAATTAAAGAGGGCAATTTTACAGGTGCAATAAAATCAAAAAAATTTTTAGGGTCAGTACTTGCTGAGATATAAGGCCGCGAAGTTGGCACTGGATGCTCATCTGACAGGAACATGGAGTCCTGCCACTTACAGAAATGTTGCCGATATACCTTTTTTTTTCTTGTTTTTTTAATTTATATAATTTTTTTATTAACACATCGGCCATTTCCCACCATATAATTTTTATGTTCTGATAATTACAATTTATAATAGTTCTTGTGATTTCATAGCCAATCTTTGTTCTGACACTAATATTAGGTACTGAAATAGTACTCAAATAGTTACAAACACATTGACAGGTGAACATTTTCACATGTGTTGGTCACATACTATTGTCTATGTGATGAATGGTTTTGAAAACCGACACTTTGAAGAATTGAGACACTTATGCAACATACGGGAATCTTTATTGAAGAAACGTTTCGCCACACGGTGGCTTCATCAGTCCAATACAAAGAAGAAATGGGTAAGGATAGGAGGAGTTTGAGGTAATCAGTCCCTCAACCTGGAATTGATGTGTTCAGTCCATCACTCTTGCAGGAAGTACAGCATAGGGCCAGAGAGGTGGCTTATATACTGCAGTCAGATGAGTCGAAGCAGGAGGAGGCGGGATCACAGTGGGACCTGCCACTAGTGTAAGTAGGTGGTCGTCCTAAGGTTGGACTGATGAAGCCACCGTGTGGCGAAACGTTTCTTCAATAAAGATTCCCATATGTTGCATAAGTGTCTCAGTTCTTCAAGTTATCGGTTTTCAAAACCATTCATCACATCTGTCAGACACTGCAACATCATGGGATCTTGGTACAAAGACTTCAACGCTTGTCCAACCTTAGGACGACGACCTACTTACACTAGTGGCAGGTCCCACTGTGATCCCACCTCCTGCTTCGACTTATCTGACTGCAGTATATAAGCCACCTCTCTGGCCCTATGCTGTACTTCCTGCAAGAGTGATGGACTGAACACATCGATTCCAGGTTGAGGGACTGATTATCTCAAACTCCTCCTCTCCTTACCCATTTCTACTTTGTATTGGACTGATGAAGCCACCGTGTGGCGAAACATTTCTTCAATAAAGATTCCTATATGTTGCATAAGTGTCTCGATTCTACTATTGTCTACAAATATATACAAAGTATTTATAGGTCCCAGCAATGTTTTAGACATGCTGGAGTATATATGAGACTCCTTGAAGCAAGATGAGTGTTACTCCACTGCTGCACCGTCAGCAGTGGAGTGACATTTGATGATTGTGCACTGCCTTGGCGTTGTTTTCACTGTTACACATAAACATGTCTGTTTATCTGTCTGTTTATCTGTCTGTTTATCTGTCTGTTAACTGTCTGTCTAGCTCAATCTGCTTATCTGTCTTTCTGTCTGCCTGTGTGACTCTGTCTTCCTGTCAATCTGTCTGCTTGTCTCTCTGTCTCAGAGAACTGCTCATGAACCAACAGGTATTACACATGATGCTGAGTCTTCACATCTGATGCCTGATCAAGTGAAAATGAGTACTGCCAGTCATGCTTATTATGCCTTATATCTACAGGCACAGAATAGCACTCTGTCTGCATTTTAATAATAATAATATCTTTATTTACTACAAGTACATGTACAAGATATACAGGCCTAGCTGACATCAATGACATACTATTATATAGAAAGCCACTTGTTATGCACAGCATTTCAGGCAAATTAGGTCAGTTTTGTCCCAGGATGCGACCCACAGCAGTGGGTCGCATCCTAACACCCAGGTACCCATTTTACTGATATGTAAACATAGACAACCAGTGTAGGAAACACGTCCAATGTTTCCATCCCTTCACCGGGAACTGAACCCAGACCCTCACCGTGTGAAGCAAGAGTTTTTGCCACCAGGCCACGGGGTTATATTAGGTAACAAAAAAAAAAAAAAAAAAAAAAAAAAAAAAAAAAAAAAAAAAAAAAAAAAGTCTACGATAGGGATGCCCGGGTGTTGCGCATGTGTCTTAATTTCATCTTGTCGGTATTATATACCATTCTTCTACTACTACTACTACTACCACCGCCTCTTCCTGCCTATATATAGCCGTCCTGCTCCACTTCTGGTTAGTGTGACTTTGTCAATGGTCCAAGTCGGACCGAAACGTCGTCGTAAGCTTCTCTCTTTTATGTGGGGGTTATTTGTGTATTTCTTTCTTCTTTCAACAAACCGGCCGTATCCCACCAAGGTGGGGTGGCCCAAAAGGAAAAATGAAAGTTTCTCCTTTTACATTTAGTAATATATACAGGAGAAGGGGTTACTAGCCCCTTGCTCCCGGCATTTTAGTCGCCTCTTACAACACGCATAGCTTACGGAGGAAGAATTCTGTTCCACTTCCCCATGGAGATAAAAGGAAATAAACAAGAACTAGAAAGAAAATAGAAGAAAACCAAGATGGGTGTGTACATATATGTTTGTACATGTATGTGTAGTGTGACCTAAGTGTCAGTAGAAGTATCAAGACGTACCTGAAATCTTGCATGTTTATGAGACAGAAAAAAAGACACCAGCAATCCTACCATCATGTAAAACAATTACAGGCTTCCGTTTTACACTCACTTGGCAGGACAGTAGTACCTCCCTGGGCGGTTGCTGTCTACCAACCCACTACCTAGGATTTGTGTATTTATCCTAGGTAATTTACACTATGTGTGATAACTGTACTTATGTGTACCTGTGACACTGAGACAGAGAGAGATAGAGACTGAGGTAGACAGAGACAGATAGACAGATACAGATGGAGAGACAACCAAAGTCAATCAGCCACCCACCCAGCCAGTTGGCGGTCAGCCGGCCTTCATGCTGAATACGTATTACACATGTTCCAGAATCATTTCTCTTTACTTAGGGCATGGGTTATAGGGCATTCTGGCAAGATGACACTAACAGTGGTATCAAAATTTTGAAAGGATGTGGCAAAAATGTTGCAAATGGGTTATTATCAAGGTTTTTGATATTTCTTCAATCACTTGTGGCCACATCCATCTCCAGGACACTAAACTCTGGGTCAACATCACTTTCCTCTTAAAAGGGGAGTGTTAATACAAAATGGCATCAGTGAATCCCTGGTGTTTGCCATGCTGTTTGCTCTAGCTGGCTCTCAATTGAACTGGTGCTCCCACAAGATAATAAGTGGTCCCAGTTTTTTTTTAATACTGAACACACCAAGTGTTAAGACCCATTCTATACTGACCAGGCATCTTAGGCCAATCATACCAAATTTGGAGGCAGGAAAAATAAAATGTTGATCTACATTTGGAGCACTACCGGTAACAACGTAGAACTATGTTTGGACAGTTTAAGGGTTAAACCAAAAACATGGTTGAAGTTTTTTTCTCATAATGCATTGTGTGCTGCAGGTTTTTTTTTTTATATGGTGCACACTTACTGCATAGACCCATTCTCTCATATCTAGGCCCAAATTTACTGCTCACAGCTTATTTAAGTGAGCAGAGCTCATGGCATAGTACTACGGGGCCGACACTGGCTTTGAGGCCATGATACAATGAGACTGACCCCAAAAGGGTTATGGGTATACAAACAACAAATATAGGAATTACACGAACAAACAAGCAAACAATTATTATTTAAGGTTGGAGCATGATTACAAGTAATGAGAATAAGAACATGGCTGACCCTTGAACAACACAGGCTTGAATTGCATGGGTCTAATTATACTACGTGGATTTTTTCAATAAATATACAGCCTCTCCTCACTTAACAATGAAGTTCTGGGCCTAAGGCTACATTGGTAAGTGAATTCATCACTAAGCTAGGGGCATACTATAATGATAAGGGTTTTGTGTCAACTATCTTTGATATTGTTTTAATGTCATCACTTGCACCATTTATGACATTTCTGGAATATTTTTAAATGTTCATACAGTTGTGTACTGTATAATGTAATAAACAGAATAGAGGAAATCAACTTTAATATACATTATTTAGGTATGCATACTGATCAGAGAGCCCATCATAAGTCCGAGTCATCGGTAAATGAGTACGTCGCTAAGTGAGGAGGAGCTGTATTGAAAAATTTTCTGGAGATTTGCGATAATTTGAAAAATCTCAGACAAACAGTACGGCGGAGAAATATAAAAAAAATAAGAAAAAGTTAGGTATGTTATGAATGCACAAAATATATGTAGATACTAGTCTATTTTATCAATTGTTACAATAAAATATACACAAATCTTTTATAAAAAGTCAAAATTTATCAAAACTAATGCACACACACACAATTCATTCACAGTCAAGAGAAATGTAAACAAACAAAGATGAGATGGGCTTTAACTTCCAGCAATGGTTTTCACAATGTGATGTGCTGTTGAAGTGTGTGAAAAGTAACATTTACGAAGGGATTCAGGGAAACCAGTTAGCCGGACTTGAGTCCTGGAGGTGGGAAATAGTGTGCCTGCACTCTGACGGAGGGGTGGAGATACGCTGCAGTTTTTTTAACTGTCATGTAGGCACGCCTCTGGCAAGACAGTGGAGTGAATGATGATGGTGTTTCTTCTTTTTTGGGTCACCCTGCCTTGGAGAGAAACAGCCAATGTGTTAATAATAATAACAAATAAATAATAATAAACATTATAATTAATAATAAGAGTGTACCTGAGTCATTGAGTCCAAGCGTACAGCTCTGTCAGCCTTGACAGGATCGTAGAGAGATGATGAATATATGGGTTCATACATTCCTGTTTGATCAATTGTCTGCAAGAAATTAATACAGAGCTTCTTACGAGATACTTCTCCACCTGCTTCACAATTCAAATCTTGAATGTCACCTGATGACGAGCCTGAAGTGCTTGTTCGAGTGCGTTGATACAGATCACGAACTCCTGAAAAAAAAATTTGCATAAATTTATTATCCAGCATATAAGAGTAATTAAATATATTTACACAGAAGGTTCCCCACTTATGACTACTGTGGTACTGAAGAGATTTAGGGAAACCAGTTACCTGAACTTGAGTGCTGGAAGTGGCAAGTACAGTGCCTTCACTTTTAAGGAGTGGTGATGATGTTACAGTTCAGAGAATCAGTTAACTGTAAGGTCTGCACACTTCTGACAAGACGGCTATTGAATGAACAATGATGATTGTGTTAATTAAACTGTTTTTTTGGGTCACCCTACCTCAATGGGAGATAGTCCGTGTATGACAACGACAATGACTAGACGTATGTCGGTCACTGTGATCAGAGAATGGGATCCCTGTATAGCATAACTCCAGCTCTCCATATATCACTATAGCAAAATATTAACACTGAAGATTTGAAGAAACTCAGGAGAAGCATTCACATATTATCACATAGACACTAATACCCAATTTCTTCAATAAAATTGAAAAAAATAAAAAAAAATGGAATATTAGGACATACGCAGTAAAAAACTAATTCAATCCTTCCCTAAGAAATACCAGATTTGTAGACAGGATGAAGAGGCATTCTGCTGTTATCTCAGAGAGATCAGCATCCTAAAGTACAGCACATTAACCCTTTCTCTGTCTCTCACGTTGATCTATGTTACTGACACCAGCGTCTCATGGAGATCCATGATTTAAGCACAGCTCCCTCAAATATGCTGTGATTAGTAAATTTCTGCCTAGACATAAAAGAATGAGTCTGTGCAGTGAGTGTGCACCATATAAAAATCCTGCCTCATGCAGTGCATGATGGGAATAAGAAATCTAACCTCATAAGAAAATGACGTTAAACGAAACTAGGCTAAATGAAGGCCCTCTGTACTACAATTTCCCCAGATTTATCCATGAAAAAGGAAAATTTGGACCTACACAGGTGGAAATCAATACAAACTTTTCTCTATGGAAGAGCAACCAGGGGCAAAAGCTCTTGCTTCACACGATGAGGGTCCAGGTTCGATTCCCGGCGAAGGGGTGAAAACACTGGACGTGTTTCCTAACAACGGTTGTCCATGTTCACCCATCAGTAAAATGGGTACCTGGGTGTTAGTCGACTGGTGTGGGTCGCATCCTGGGACAAGACTGACCTAATTTGCCCAAAATGCTCTGCCTAACAAGCAGCTTTTTATATAGTAGTATGTCATTGATGTCAGCTAGGCCTGTATACCTTGTACATGTACTTGTAGAAATAAACATATTATTATAAAAAGCACTCATCACCCTAATGAAAGCTAGACAACAATATCCTTGTCAAACAAAAACTGTTTTCATCAAGTTCAGTCCATGTTCTTCTTCCAGCCTTCCTTCAACTTCCACATATAGTCATTAACATGTATTGTAATTTAAGAAACTTGTAGTATCTTCCCCATCTCTATTCAATCACTCCCTAAAACTGAAGATCATCAAATCACTTTAATGTGTAATTCTTTTGTAACTAACCACTTGTCATTAACCACCTTTCTTATTGTACTAATGAGTGCAATTTATTGCATATGAAGTCCTACTAATAGTCTATGTCTAGTTCTTAAGTAGCATGTAAGTCTTATGATTAGGTACTTTCCTTAAATGCACTGCAAAATTAGTGACTGTCTTTTGGGCCTACCATTTCAAGTATAAACAGAGTGGAGATTGGCAAGAAGGCTGGCACTTGTATACAAATAAAACATTATTATTATCATTATCTTATGTACACACATTGTAGTATAATAAACCATACACTGATGGTTTAGTGTTGTGACTTACCCATATAATGAACTAGACGCTGAAGTTTCAGTGGATCTCGACGCATCACAAACAAGATGTCTTCTGGACCCACAATTCTTGTACCTCTTTGTTCCGCAATATCTGTCGCCTGATGACACATCAAACATAAACTATTTAAAATTACATAAAAAGCCTAATGAATGTTTTTTTTATTAACACATCAGCCAATTCCCACCAAGGCAGGGTGGCCTGAAAAAGAAAAACTTTCATCATCATTCACTCCATCACTGTCTTGCCAGAGGGATGCTTTACACTACAGTTATAAAACTGCAACATTAACACCCCTCCTTCAGAGTGCAGACATTGTACTTCCTATCTCAAGGACTCAAGTCCGGGTAGCGAACAAGTGGAGCCTACAGTATCATGGTAGTGAACAAGTGAAGCCTGTGCTATGATGGTAGTGAACAAGTGGAGCCTGTACTATGATGGTAGTGAACAAGTGGAGCCTACAGTATGTATTATGGTAGTGAACAAGTGAAGCCTGTACTATGATGGTAGTGAACAAGTGGAGCCTACAGTATTATCGTAGTGAACAAGTGGAGCCTGTACTGATGGTAGTGAACAAGTGGAGCCTGTACTATGATGGTAGTGAACAAGTGGAGCCAGGTACTGATGGTATTGAACAAGTGGAGCCTGTACTATGATGGTAGTGAACAAATGGAGCCTGTACTATCATGGTAGTGAACAAGAAGAACCTGGAGTATTATGGTAGTGAACAAGTGGAGCCTGTACTATGATGATAGTGAACAAGTGGAGCCTGTACTATGATGGTGGTGAACAAGAAGAACCTGGAGTATTATGGTAGTGAAACAAGTGGAGCCTGTACTATGATGGTAGTGAACAAGTGGAGCCTGTACTATGATGGTAGTGAACAAGTGGAGCCTGTACTGATGGTATTAAACAAGTGGAGCCTGTACTATGATGGTAGTGAACAAGTGGAGCCTGTACTATGATGGTAGTGAACAAGAAGAGCCTGGAGTATTATGGTAGTGAACAAGTGGAGCCTGTACTATGATGGTAGTGAACAAGTGGAGCCTGTACCATGATGGTAGTGAACAAGTGGAGCCTGTACTATGATGGTAGTGAACAAGTGGAGCCTGTACTATGAGTGTAGTGAACAAGTGGAGTCTGTACTATGATGGTAGTGAACAAGTGGAGCCTGTACTATGATGGTAGTGAACAAGTGGAGCCTACAGAATTATGGTAGTGAACAAGTGGAGCCTGTACTGATGGTAGTGAACAAGTGGAGCCTGTACTATGATGGTAATGAACAAGTGGAGCCTGTACTAGGTTGGTAATGAACAAGTGGAGTCTGTACTGATGGTATTGAACAAGTGGATCTTGTACCATGATGGTAGTGCACAAGTGGAGCCTGTACTAGGTTGGTAATGAACAAGTGGAGCCTGTACTGATGGTATTGAACAAGTGGAGCTTGTACCATGATGGTAGTGCACAAGTGGAGCCTGTACTACGATGGTAGTGAACAAGTGGAGCCTGTACTATGATGGTGGTGAACAAGAAGAATCTGGAGTATTATGGTAGTGAACAAGTGGAGCCTGTACTATGATGGTAGTGAACAAGTGGAGCCTGTACTATGATGGTAGTGAACAAGTGGAGCCTGTACTATGATGGTAGTGAACAAGTGGAGCCTGTACTGATGGTATTAAACAAGTGGAGCCTGTACTATGATGGTAGTGAACAAGTGGAGCCTGTACTATGATGGTAGTGAGCAAGAAGAACCTGGAGTATTATGGTAGTGAACAAGTGGAGCCTGTACTATGATGGTAGTGAACAAGTGGAGCCTGTACTATGATGGTAGTGAACAAGTGGAGCCTGTACTGATGGTATTAAACAAGTGGAGCCTGTACTATGATGGTAGTGAACAAGTGGAGCCTGTACTATGATGGTAGTGAACAAGAAGAGCCTGGAGTATTATGGTAGTGAACAAGTGGAGCCTGTACTATGATGGTAGTGAACAAGTGGAGCCTGTACTATGATGGTAGTGAACAAGTGGAGCCTGTACTATGATGGTTGTGAACAAGTGGAGCCTGTACTATGATTGTAGTGAACAAGTGGAGCCTGTACTATGACTGTAGTGAACAAGTGGAGCCTGTACTTTGATGGTAGTGCACAAGTGGAGCCTGCAGTATGATGGTAGTGAAAAAGTGGAGTCTGCACTATGATGGTAGTGAACAAGTGGAGTCTGTACTATGATGTTAGTGAACAAGTGGAGTCTGTACTGATGGTAGTGAACAAGTGGAGCCTGTACTATGATGGTAATGAACAAGTGGAGCCTATACTATGATGGTAATGAACAAGTGGAGCCTGTACTGATGGTATTGAACAAGTGGAGCCTGTACTATGATGGTAGTGCACAAGTGGAGCCTGTACTATGATGGTAATCAACAAGTGGAGCCTGTACTGATGGTATTGAACAAGTGGAGCTTGTACTATGATGGTAGTGCACAAGTGGAGCCTGTACTATGATGGTAGTGAACAAGTGGAGCCTGTACTATGATGGTGGTGAACAAGAAGAACCTGGAGTATTATGGTAGTGAACAAGTGGAGCCTGTACTATGATGGTAGTGAACAAGTGGAGCCTGTACTATGATGGTAGTGAACAATTCGAGCCTGTACTATGATGGTAGTGAACAAGTCGAGCCTGTACTTTGATGTTAGTGTGAAAGTGGAGCCTGCAGTATGATGGTAGTGAACAGATGGAGTCTGTACTATGATGGTAGTGAACAAGTGGAGCCTGTACTATGAAGGTAGTGAACAAGTGGAGCCTGTACTATGATGGTAGTGAACAAGTCGAGCTTGTACTATGATGGTAGTGAACAAGTCGAGCCTGTACTATGATGGTAGTGAGCAAGTGGAGCCTGTACTATGATAGTGAACAAGTGGAGCCTGTACTATGATGGTAGCAAACAAGTGGAGCCTGTACTATGATGGTAGTGAACAAGTGGAGCCTGTACTATGATAGTAGCAAACAAGTGTAGCCTGTACTATGATGGTAGTGAACAAGTGGAGCCTGCAGTATGATGGTAGTGAACAAGTGGAGCCTGTACTATAATGGTAGTGAACAAGTGGAGTCTGTAGTATGATGGTAGTGAACAAGTGGAGCCTGTACTATGATGGTAGTGAACAAGTGGAGCCTACAGTATTATGGTAGTGAAAAAGTGGAGCCTGTACTGATGGTAGTGAACAAGTGGAGCCTGTACTATGATGGCAGTGAACAAGTGGAGCCTGTACTGATGGTATTTAACAAGTGGAGCCTGTACTATGATGGTAGTGCACAAGTGGTGCCTGTACTATGATGGTAGTGAACAAGTGGAGCCTGTACTATGATGGTAGTGAACAAGTCGAGCCAGTACTATGATGGTAGGGAACAAGAATAACCTGGAGTATTATGGTAGTGAACAAGTGGAGCCTGTACTATGATGGTAGTGAACAAGTGGAGCCTGTACTATGATGGTAGTGAACAAGTCGAGCCTGTACTATGATTGTAGTGAACAAGTGGAGCCTGTACTATGATGGTAGTGAACAAGTGGAGCCTGTAATTTGATGTTAGTGTGCAAGTGGAGCCTGCAGTATGATGGTAGTGAACAAGTGGAGTCTGTACTATGATGGCAGTGAACAAGTGGAGCCTGTATTATGATGGCAGTGAACAAGTGGAGCCTGTACTAAGATGGTAGTGAACAAGTGGAGCCTGTACTATGATGGTAGTAAACAAGTGGAGCCTGTACTATGATGGTAGTGAACAAGTGGAGCCTGTACTATAATGGTAGTGAACAAGTGGAGCCTGTACTATGATGATAGTGAACAAGTGCAGCCTGTACTATGATGGTAGCAAACAAGTGGAGCCTGTACTATGATGGTAGCAAACAAGTGGAGCCTGTACTATGATGGTAGCAAACAAGTGGAGCCTGTACTATGATGGCAGTGAACAAGTGGAGAATGTACTATGATGGTAGCGAACAAGTGGAGCCTGTACTATGATGGTAGCGAACAAGTGGAGCCTGTACTATGATGGTAGTGAACAAGTGGAGCCTGTACTATGATGGTAGTGAACAAGTAGAGCCTGTACTATGATGGTAGCAAACAAGTGGAGCCTGTACTATGATGGTAGTGAACAAGTGGAGCCTGTACTATGATGGTAGCGAACAAGTGGAGCCTGTACTATGGTGGTAGTGGAGGCAGCACGACCTCAGTGTAAATCAACAGATGGCAGAACCAACCAGATGCAAGAAGAGTGTCATCTGCTGATGAACTATGGACTCAATAACCGCTGCAGTCTCGGGCAGTGGTCGCCGGCAGTCACCAAAACCATGCATCATTAACTGGATGTCTGAAACATTAACAACATTCATCATTAACTGTGTATCTCAAACATTAACAACATTCATCAATAACTTTATATCTGAGATATTAACATTCATTATTAAAGTTATATCTGCGATATTAACAACATCCATCAGTAACTTTATATCTGAGATATTAACTACATGTACCAGAAATAATATTTTGAAACAATAACAATACAAGTTCAGGGATTTAATATTAATTTTACTTTTCAAACACTTCATTGTCTGAAACACCTCACTGTTTCACACTTGACTGTTTCAAACACGTTATTGTTAATGGTAATACAGGTGCTCCTTGACTTACAATGAGGTTACATTCCAATGAATGCACTGTAAGTTGAAAATATCCTAAGTCAAATATGAACATACAGTAGGACCCCCATATCCATAGCGTATACGTTCCAAGGACCTGCCAGGAATACTTAAGCCATAAATAGCAGCAGACCCTATATATAAGTCCTATACAGTGGACCCCCGAATTACGATGTCCTCAACCTATGTTAAAACTGACTTATGATGCTTGTCAGTTTAAAAATTTGACCCCGACCTACGCTGAAAAACTCGACTTACATCATTCGTCCCGAACGCGGCCGTCTGGTCCATCTGGCCTGAGCGCCTCAGCTGAGCTAGTATGACATTGTTTACAAGCCGGGGTGGACGGTTGCATGCATACATTCAAAAAAAATTGGTATTATTCCAGTGTTTTTAGTGCTTGTAACTGCTAAATAAGCCACCATGGGCCCAAAGAAAGCTTCTATGCCAACCCTGTGGTAAAAAGGGTGAGAAATACTGTCGAAATACTATCGAACCATGGTCAGCTACTGCTGCACCACGGTGAGCTGCTGCTGCACTATGGTCAGCTGCTGCTGCTGCTGCAGCACCATCAGCTGCTGCTGCACCATGGTCAGCAGCTGCTGCTGCTGTAGCACCATCAGCTGCTGCTGCACCACGGTCAGCTGCTGCTGCACCACGGTCAGCTGCTGCTGCACCATGGTCAGCTGCTGCTGCTGTAGCACCATCAGCTGCTGCTGCTGCTGTAGCACCGTCAGCTGCTGCTGCACCACGGTCAGCTGCTGCTGCACCACAGGCAGCTGCTGCTGCACCACGGTCAGCTCCTACTGCACCACGGTCAGCTGCTGCTGCTGCTGCTGCTGTAGCACCATCAGCTGCTGCTGCACCACGGTCAGCTGCTGCTGCACAAAGGTCAGCTGCTGCTGCTGCTGCTGTAGCACCATCAGCTGCTGCTGCACCACGGTCAGCTGCTGCTGCTGCTGTAGCACTGTCAGCTGCTGCTGCTGCTGCTGCTGCTGCTGCTGTAGCACCATCAGCTGCTGCTGAACATGGTCAGCTGCTGCTGCACCACAGTCAGCTGTACTACTCGAAGATGTGGAGACACTGTTATTAGCGTGGCTTATCGAGAATATCGAGAAACAATTAACCCCAGAGGGTTAGCCACCCAGGATAACCCAAGAAAGTCATTGTGCCATCGAGGACTGTCTAACTTATTTCCATTGGGGACCTTAATCTTGTCCCCCAGGATGCAACCCACACCAGTAGACTAACACCCAGATGAACAGGAAAAAATGCCTGGAACTAGTGCTCATGTTGGTGAATTTAAGGCCAGCAAAGGTTGGTTTGAGAGATTTAAGAATCGTAGTGGCATAAACAGTGTGATAAGGCCTGTTCTGGAAGAAAATGCCAAACAGGACCTACATTACTCAGGAGGAAAAGGCATTCCCAGGACACAGTGTGTCATCACTCATCAGTACATCTTCAATAAAGGTAAGTGTCATTTATTCTTCATTTAGTACACTAGTACATACATAATATATATTGTGCATGTATCCTTCTTTTTGTGTGTAGGAAAATGTATATTTCATGTGGTAAAAAAAAAAATTTTCATACTTTTGGGTGTCTTAAATGAATTAATTTGATTTCCCTGATTTCTTATGGGGAAAATTAATTCGACTTACGATAATTTCATCTTACGGTGTGCTCTCAGGAATGCATTAATATCATAAGTCGGGGGTCCACCGTACATATTATAAAATTTAATAAATTACACACAGTAAGTGGAGACTTATCATTTTCGCTGATGGGAAGCACTTCAAGGCTTCTCTTAGGCTTGGAACAACTGCCAGCTTTTCTACTTTTCTGCTTTGGGGTCATTATTATTATGCAAAAGTAAGAGGTATTTTTGGGCCACAGTTGTACTATACACCTGGAAAATCCTAGAGGGACTAGTACCGAACTTGCACACGAAAATCACTCACTACGAAAGCAAAAGACTTGGCAGACGATGCACCATCCCCCCAATGAAAAGCAGGGGTGTCACTAGCACGTTAAGAGACCATACAATAAGTGTCAGGGGCCCGAGACTGTTCAACTGCCTCCCAGCACACATAAGGGGGATTACCAACAGACCCCTGGCAGTCTTCAAGCTGGCACTGGACAAGCACCTAAAGTCAGTTCCGGATCAGCCGGGCTGTGGCTCGTACGTTGGTTTGCGTGCAGCCAGCAGTAACAGCCTGGTTGATCAGGCTCTGATCCACCAGGAGGCCTGGTCACAGACCGGGCCGCGGGGGCGTTGACCCCCAGAACTCTCTCCAGGTCTCCAGGTAAACAGTAAACCGCAGATACTGAATCAGCGGATACGGGGGGTCTACTGAAATATGTTAAATAAGTAAATAATTGCTGTCACTGAATAAGTAAATAAATAAATAATTACTGTAAACTAACAAAATACAGTGGAGCCTCGACTTATGAGTGCCCCAACATATGAGTTTTTGAGTTACGAGCCAAAACCTGAGTTATGAACGAGCTTCAGAATACCGCCACTAGACACTAGATTAATATTAACGCAGTGACTGTGTCTTATTTCCATTGGGGTCCTATAGTCCTCATCCCCAGGATGCCACCCACACCAGTTAACTAACATCCAGGTACCTACTTACTGCTAGGTGAGTGACAGTAGGACTAAGGAAACATGCCCAACATTTCACCCGTGCCGGGGATCGATCCCGGACCCTCCATGTATGAGGAAGTAATATATGATCCTTATGGGAGTAAGGTAGCTCAAATTCCTTAGATCACGAGCCCTGAAGCAGAATCACCTAAGGGAGAATTATTTTCTCATTGTTAACACAATAGTTAACAGCAGAGTTAACACCATAACTCTGAGCTCACTTATATGTGTTAAAATGTATGAAAATGCTTGTTATATCTAACAATTTCAAGATATTATTACCTGTAACGAAAGACATTTTATTGGAGTTGTTTGTTGTTGTTGTTGGATTAAAGGCTGACACGGTCTGAGGACCGTATGAACCCTTAAGGCATCGGCTTCACAGGCTGGGTTAAGGGAGGAAAAAAATGTAGCTCTTTTGTTTACCGTCCGATTTCCTCCAATTTTGGTGCACAAGACAAAGTGTTTTCACTCTTTCTTAAAAATATTTATCAAAAATATACCTCTAACAACAACTGAGAAAAGACTGATTTACTGAAAATGCCCTTGAGGAAAATTGTTTTCCTATATGGGAAGACGTAAGGTTGTTTGGACACTTGGTGCCGAGAGAACAATGCTTATACGAATTCCTGGTGGAGTAGTTTCCTCTAAATATCTTATCTTCATTTCACAAAAAAATAAAGTTTGTTAGTTCTTGGAATGTTGCAAAATATCTGACCTTTACTCCCACATAAATCCCAAAATAATTGGAATATTTCCCAAAATATTCCAGAAGTAAATAGAGAAATCATTATTTTACAATTTCTGTGAATATTATTCCATATAATTAAGTAATAAATGAAGAATCATGGCCATTAGGTTAATGAGTTACTTCCGAGATATTGGCCGGGAGCGCCGGCCGGCCCTCCGTCTCAAAAAAAAAAAAAATCGCCTTAGTTTGGGTGTATTTCTTAGTAAACTGATGTTCTAGTGCAGTTATCCTCTTCAAAACACCGTTTTCTCTTACTCAAAGACGACATGGAGAGGAGTAACTCATTTACATCGAAATATTCCCGATAATCTCTCAATTCAAATTCAAATTCAAATTCAATGTTTATTCTCTATAAGGATTACAATGCTGAGTTTACAGAATTTGGTTATTGTGTGGTTTACATGTAGTAAAATAATGATTACAGAGTGTACCACTAGAACACCTAGCATGGCTAGGCATTTCGGGCAGACTCAGTTTAATTCTTAATTTTAAAATATTACAAATTATGAGGTAAGTTGGTATTATGGCTAAGTGACTAAATACTAGTTTGTGAGTTTAGCAATGTGAATGCTTTTGTTTTGGCACAGTACATAGTTTCAGTATTGGAGTATCACAGGATTCATTATTTTAAGATTGAGATTAATATTTCTGTTTATGGTCAAATGGGTGAGTGAGTGTAAGTGTGAACCACCAGGTAAGTAAGTAAGTAAGTAAGTAAGTAAGTAAATTTATTCAGGTATACACAAATACAGTTACATAGAATTATCATACATAGCAGCATATGTGTAGAGAACCTAGGATAACCCAAAAAAGTCAGACAGAGTGTAGTTAGTTGACGGGGTGTATCAGGGAGATAAGATGTTTTCTAATGGTAGTTTTGAAGGTGATGAATGTGTCTGCAGTTTTAGAGTTCTCAGGTAGGGTGTTCCAGATTTTAGGGCCTTTGACATACATTGAATTTTTGAAAAGGTTTAGTCGGACACGGGGAATGTCGTAGAGATGTTTGTGTCTGGTGTTATGCCTGTGGGTTCTGTCACAACTATCAAGAAAGCATTTTAGGTCAAGGTTGATATTGGAGTTTAAGGTCCTGTAGATGTAGATTGCACAGTAGTAAGTGTGGATGTTCTGACCAGGGAGTAAGTTTAGATCTATGAAGAGTGGGGGGGTGTGTTGCCAGGGATGGGATTTGGTGATTATTCTTACTGCAGCTTTTTATTGGGTTATTATTGGCTTTAGGTGTGTTGCTGCAGTTGATCCCCAAGCACAAATAGCATAGGTGAGGTATGGATAAATAAGTGATTGGTATAGTGTGAGAAGGGCATTTTGCTGCACGTAGTATCGTATCTTGGAGAGGATCCCAACCGTTTTGGATACTTTTTTGGTTATGTGTTGGATATGGGTGCTGAAATTCAGGTTGTTGTCAAGGTATAGGCCTAGGAATTTGCCCTCATTATGTCTGGTAATTAGAGTGTTGTCGATCTTAATGTTAATTTGTGCATCTCCTGCTCTGCTACCAAACATAATATAGTAGATTTTGTCAGTGTTAAGCGTAAGTTTATTGGCTGTCATCCAAGTCGATATTTTGATCAGCTCCTCGTTAACAATGGTGTTGAGGGTGGCAAGATTAGGGTGAGAGATGACATAAGTCGTGTCGTCAGCAAAGAGAATGGGTTTCAGGTGTTGGGATACGTTTGGAAGATCATTGATGTATATGAGGAAGAGCAGGGGACCAAGGACACTTCCCTGCGGAACTCCAGTATCAAGTGGCCGTGTTGTTGATGCTGTGTCTTTAATGGTGACATACTGATACCTATTAGTAAGGTAAGATTAGAAATAAGCAAGCGCATGGCCTCTTATACCGTAATGGTCAAGTTTGTGGAGCAGGATGTCGCGGTCTACTGTGTCAAAAGCTTTTCTTAGGTCAATAAAAATTCCTTGTGGATATTACTTGTTTTCCAATGCTGTGTAAAGCAGATCTAGCATTTTTATGATTGCATCATTAGTGCTTTTATTTTTCCTGAATCCAAATTGGCAGGGGTTTACCTGGAGTTTACCTGGAGAGAGTTCCGGGGTCAACGCCCTCGCGGCCCGGTCTGTGACCAGGCCTCCTGGTGGATCAGAGCCTGATCAACCAGGCTGTTACTACTGGCTGCACGCAAACCAACGTACGAGCTACAGCCCGGCTAGTCAGGAACAGACTTTAGGTGCTTGTCCAGTGCCAGCTTGAAGACTGCCAGGGGTCTGTTGGTAATCCCCCTTATGTATGCTGGGGGGCAGTTGAACATTCTTGGGCCCCTGACACTTATTGCATGGTCTCTTAACGTGCTAGTGACACCCCTGCTTTTCATTGTGGGGATGTTGCATCGTCTGCCAAGTCTTTTGCTTTCGTAGTGAGTGATTTTCGTGTGCAAGTTCGGTACTAGTCCCTCTAGGATTTTCCAGGTGTATATAATCATGTATCTCTCCCACCTGCGTTCCAGGGAATACAGGTTCAGGAACCTCAAGCGCTCCCAGTAATTGAGGTGTTTTATCTCCGTTACGCGCGCCGTGAAGGTTCTCTGTACATTTTCTAGGTCAGCAATTTCACCTGCCTTGAAAGGTGCTGTTAGTGTGCAGCAATATTCCAGCCTAGATAGAACAAGTGACCTGAAGAGTGTCATCATGGGCTTGGCCTCCCTAGTTTTGAAGGTTCTCATTATCCATCCTGTCATTTTTCTAGCAGCTGCGATTTTTCTATATGAATGACTCAATTTCCATAATTTTTCGATTTTTTTTTGGGGGGGGAGCGCGCGGAAAATTGCCTTGTTACTTCCGAGATATTGGCCTGGAACGCCGGCCGGCCCACCGTCTCGAAAAAAAAAAATTGCGAAAATCGCGTTTGTTTGGGTGTAAATCAATATTATATCATAGTGACTATCTGTCCATTGAACTTTGTTCACCATTACTTAATTTAGTTCCTTATATATGTTCTCCCTTATTTTAGCTTTAAATAACTACCTCAGTTCATATATTCACAATTGTTAAAATAATTAAAGTGCTATTGTCAGGGGCTAAAGTGTAATAAGTTCACTATTTTGCCATTAAAATACTCCAGGTGCTATAAACTACCTCAGGTGCTACTGATTTTACTTTTAATACATTCTTTTACTATTATATCCATTAGTTCCTTTATTTTAAATGTAAATATCTACTGTAGTTCATAAACTCACTTGTTAAAATAATTAAGGTGTTATTAGATACTTCATTGTATAACTGAATTATCAATTCTGTAATAATCCCTTTTTCTTTCAAATTTTTACAAGTTCTAGATTAATCACGGAGTCTTAGTCATAAGTCTAGTTGTAGATTCAATATAAATCTTATATTATTTTACTCAGAAAATCTAGTTTGTAAAACTGCTCTCATCCTATGACTACAGGTATAGATCCTGATGTAAACTTTTTACAAAATGAATTACATGAATCAACCAGTAACTGTAATTACTACACAGCAGACCAAGCAAAGACATTACTCAGTGCAAACAATAACAACTATCTTTAACTACAATGTCAGATCCTTGAGTAAACATTATGATGGCCTCACAGCATTACTCAGTTCCCTTAATTCCAATATATGGGTTATGAGAGCGATGGGTGGCCTGGTATTGTGGGTTACGTAGATGATACATCGGTCTTGGTAGGAGGTGGTGTAGACTTGCAGCAGGTGGAAGGAATCGTGGACGTGTTTGGAGAGGCGGCAGGGATGAGAATTAATGCTACGAAGACTAAGTTCATGGCCGTGGGAAATTAAGACCAAATGAGTGGGTGCATGAGAGGAAGCTTTAAAGAGCTACCTTAGCTCATATTTTTTTACATTTGTTAAAATAATTCAGGTGCTATTTTATAGCTTTAGAATATTTACTTTGTCTTATACTTAATTCTAACTATAGATTCACTATAAATCTTATGATAACAAGCAGTGATCCTGATACCAACCTCTTATCTAATGACTTAAATCAGTGGTTCCTAAACTGGGGGTAAATTACCCCCTGGGGTAATTTAACCATTTTTCGGGGGTAATGGAGGGGTGACAGAAAAAAAGTTATGAATTCTGAAAATCAAGAAAACAATGCGGTACCCGGTATGAGGATTATTGTTAACTTTGTCTTAGTATATAAAGTTGTAAAGTAAACCTATTATAAGTTTACCTGGATTACCTGGAGTTACCTGGAGAGAGTTTCGGGGGTCAACGCCCCCGCGGCCCGGTCTGTGACCAGGCCTCCTGGTGGATCAGCCCCTGATCAACCAGGCTGTTGCTGCTGGCTGCACGCAAACCAACGTACGAGCCACAGCCCGGCTGATCAGGAACTGACTTTAGGTGCTTGTCCAGTGCCAGCTTGAAGACTGCCAGGGGTCTGTTGGTAATCCCCCTTATGTATGCTGGGAGGCAGTTGAACAGTCTCGGGCCCCTGACACTTATTGTATGGTCTCTTAACGTGCTAGTGACACCCCTGCTTTTCATTGGGGGGATGGTGCATCGTCTGCCAAGTCTTTTGCTTTCGTAGTGAGTGATTTTCGTGTGCAAGTTCGGTACTAGTCCCTCTAGGATTTTCCAGGTGTATATAATCATGTATCTCTCCCTCCTGCGTTCCAGGGAATACAGGTTTAGAAACCTCAA